GTAGAATCAACCATTAGAGCATCATCATCGCCCATGCGCTCTGGGACAGGGGGCCCGGAAGCACCCGACTCGTCACGCTCGGGGTTCGTAGAATCAACCATTAGAGCATCATCATCGCCCATGCGCTCTGGGACAGGGGGCCCAGAAGCACCCGACTCGTCATGCTCGGGGTTTGTAGAATCAACCATTAGAGCATCATCATCGCCTATGTGCTCTGGGGCAGGGGGTCCGGAGTTTGCGGTCGAGTGAGGCTCGGGATCATTGTGCATTGGCTCGTGGTTGGACTGGATATCGTCGCCTCTAACTCCATCTATGTCGATGTCGTCGATGGAATCATTATCATTGTACTCGACCGCGGTGCGCTTGGGTCTATTGGACGGGGACACAACTTGTCCGTCCCTTCCACGGCCAGGTCGCCGTGACGAGCCCAAGCCCATACGGTCTGGTCTGGGGGTGTCGGCTTCAGTGACTTCACCAATGGTCTCTGCGTACCCTGGTTCTCCGCTATATGGCGATGTGATAATGGAGGAATCTGCCAGCTGTGCTCTGGTGTAAGCGCGGATGGCGAGCAATCCATATTGGTCAAAATCATATGTTTCCCCGGTTATGCTGTTCAAATGCTGCAATTCGTTGCTGCTTAGCACCGGTGGCTGAGCATTTCCCTGGGCTAGATCTCGTGCACTTTTAGCGTCAGCGGTGCTAATAATCATGCTAAATGATTGACCACGTCGATGGTTCACACGGCGATCATATAGCACACGGTTGAAATAATGCCGTGCATCCTCCCACGTTGGGCAAGTGGTCGCCAACGCATTATAATACGCGGCCTTGTTCTTCGAGATACCCTCGCCAACTAGATATAAGCTGGCAGCACCCCATGCCGCCGTCACTTTACTCATGCGGTTGCTGGTCCTTTGTGTCCGATCTAATTGATGTTTCCTCTTGATTTCTAATAGTTTTTTCCACGCGTTATCTAACTTATGTTGCTCCCACCATTCCTTGTTTTTCGACTCTGGAAGAACCCTCCCACTGACTTCCATAAGTCTGGTCACAAAGCCGTCGATTTTATAGAATGCATTGCGGCGTCTATCTAAGACCTCGGCTGTGGCTTGTGTGATAAAAGCGCCTGTCGCATCACGATCAAGGGTCCCACTCTCTATGAAGTTGAATACCTGGTTGTTGTTCTCGAACTTTCGCCCTATTATCACTACTCCAGTAGTGCTGGATAAAGACGTAGTTATTAACTGACTAGGTAAGTTGAATAACTAATAGTTAGTATTTACCAATATTGAGTTGGGTAGGATGTTGTCTTATTTTATGTTGACTGAAGATGGCTCGTCTCAATATGTAAATCAAGATGTAGGTGGTCGATCCTAGGCCCCTGCCTGGAACTGTGATCGCTGACACGGGGGCTGAGTGCGAGGATTAAAGAAATTGAGAGATATATAGTGTTGGTTGATGCGTTGCTGATTTGAGCCCACTCACGATTGAATCTAATATAGTGATGTTTGGTGGTGCGTCTTGTGCTGTTTGTCCTTTATAGTAGTGAAAGTAGGCTCGTTCTCTTCGTTGGATCAAGAGCTTTTGACTGAGGGTAGATATGTGATGATTAGGCAAATGCTGCAGAAGATATCGAGATGAAAAGTGATTAAGTCGAGGGGTAGAGGAGGAAAGAAAGAAAGATGAGGAAGAGGTCTTGTGGAAATCAACACTATCTTGCGTTAAACCTAATCTGGTTTAGCTTATGATTAAGTTGTTGATTACGATTGAGAGTTTAGCGGGGAAGTTCCCTAAGTGGATCCTGGGCCCTGGTCTATATTTAGAGTAGGCAACTGATGGAGTATAATAACACTAGTCTACATCTAGACTATGATATCTCAATAGCCTTTCGCGTCATGGCAATTTTTTACCACTAGTGATGCCAGCTGTGGATGTATCAGTCGTTCCCTTTAAGGCCTTGATTATTGGGCTGACGTTATATGGGCCAAGACAGGGATATCAATTAAGCTTGTAGTATTCCCCTGGCGATCAATCTCTGCTAAACCTTAATATATAGAACCCTGCGGTAATTGGCTGTATTTGCAGCGGGTATGCAACGCTTATTTTTACTAGGTCTAAGATATTATTAAACCCAATTTGGCCTCATTCCTAGGGTTTGTTTATCATCCATATTAATATACTCTCTTAAACTTTTTCTAAATATATCAACCCAGCAAAATTATAATTTTCTCTATGTCTATAATCCCTACAGCTACTGCAGCGCTTTCCTCCGCTAGTTGAAACATGGTGTCACTTACGAGAGAAAAGAACTAATGACGAGTTGGCTTAGATAGAAAAACGATCAATAACAAGTCCACGAAAATATGGGCCAAGACTCGTCGCGATAGGGTCTGAGGTTAAGATGAGATAGACTAAGCCCTCTAGTTATATAAAACGATAGATAATAAGATCCTATTGGTTGACGGGATCCTGTAGCTGGCATAGATATGTTGTAGGAGCTCTAGGGGAAGAAGTAGTAGAGGAGGCTGGCTAGTGATTGATAGCTTAAAGAGAATGGCTCCCAAATCAGTGGCTATTATAGCTGGTAGGGAAAAATATAGATTCTTTTCGTGGTGATGAAGAACGATAGAAACGCAGTGGCTATTGCTCCCAGGAAGCATAATGGGTTGGCTGGTTAATACTTCTGGGCAGGGGGCCCGGGAGCACCTGAGGTTGTTGTGTATGCTCGTTGAGTGAGACGTTCTCGCACCAGGAAGATCAATGGTTTGGCTGGTTAACGC